GGGGCAGGCCAAAGCTTTCAACGCAGCGCGGAGGCCAAGTTAAGGCTACCACCACCATGCGTGCGCGCAGCTCGGTGAAGCTCCTCCTTCATCCCTCTCTTCGCTATCTCCGTCACCTCGCTCGCTAGCAGTCTGTCGCTCTGCGGTCGGTCGGCTGGGAGCGCTCGTGCACCTACAGCGCCCCAAGGCGACCACCACCTCCCAGGCCGGGGCCCTCTCTGCCTCTCTGGGGGTGCGGGGGCAGGCTCTGCGAGAACACTCCACGGGAGATCGCTGGTCTGGGATCCGTCCCCATGGCGGACTGCTTCTGCCCCATCGTGGGCCCCGTCCCCGGTGCTCTTCCGTCCTGGATGGCTGTCTGGTGGCACCAGGGTCCGAGAGCGGCACAGGGAGGCCCAGTGGAGCCGAGGCAGAGCAACGGGATTGGAGAGGTCCATCCGCCGAGTCTGGGCCACCAGACGGGGGAACGCTTGCCGTGCTGCTGCCATCAGATGGGGGAGCTGGAGGGGCCCCGTCCTCTCGAATGGGGCCTCAGGAGGACGAGGACGCAAGCTTACGCGAACGCCGAGAGGGCCTCAGGAGGACGCAAGCTCACGGAGAGACTCCCTCAAACCCTGCTCCACCTCCTCCTAAAGCTGCTGCTCCTCCTCCTCCTCCTCCTCTTCCTCCTCCTCCTCAATCAAGCCTCCGCCTTCTCTTGCCCCTCCTCCTCATTCTCCTCCTCCTCGCCCTGCCATTGCGGCAGGCCGAGGGAGCAGAGCAGTGGAGCAGGCAGATCGGTCCCAGCAAGACTCCCCGATCCTGGCGCCCGGGGTGTTGCGACGGCTGCAGCCAGCGGGGCTGGCAGGGTACCAGCGCAAGACCCCAAGTGAGGTGCAGGTGCGTGCAGTCACCACCGCTCGGAAACCTGGCACTCCTGGCACTACAAAACAAGTGAGCAGAGCTGTCAAGGTACACTGACTGAGTGTTCGTGATGTTTCGCCCTGAGGTAGTGGACAACAAAACATCTGGCCAATCGCAATGATACGCCGCCCATGAACAAAACACGAAAATATATACACACAAACACACGAAACACACACCAGGATGAGCCTCTGAACTGCCTGCACAATTCGCTGGCGCCACTCCACTGCTGTACTGCCCACTTACCCATGCCAGCCTTGCGAAGGTTCTCGCCGCCCTTGCCGACGATCTGGCCGGCGTTCTCGGCCGGCACGTACAAGCTTGGAATGTTGTTCTCATCAGGGAACGCCTCCAGGCGACAGGAGTATTCATGCTTCTGGAAGGATGACCGGCAAGACCGAGAGAGTGAGAAACGGGAGAGCCTGGTAGCGAGTTCGCGGGCAGGGCTACGCGCTCGGTGGCGCACTTTGTAACATGCACGGACATCTGCAGGCTGATGCTGCCAGCGTGCGCCGTGCACATCTGGAGCCGCACGGCGGCCGACCTGAAATGGGTGAGCAAGCGCGCGAACACTTGGCCTGCGCAGGAAAACAAGATGAGCACTGCCCTACCTCGGCCTCCCGGAGCCAACCTCCAGCAGAGGCCGATGTGCAGGACTGCCGCCGCCGCGCACAACAAGGGTGCAGGGCACGGATGCAGGCCCCATTGGGCGTCCAAGGGGCCACCATCCACAAGGGCACACTCAGGCACTGCCAAAACCAAATAACATATATATATATATATATATATATATGTATCAGCATGGGTGGAGAAGGGGGGGGCGCAAGCAGATGGACAACAAAAACACGGCATAGACAGAAACTGTCGGAGGTCCGCGCGGATTCCTTGGACTGGCGCTGGACCCCCATCCCTGACGCGCGGAGCGCGGCAAGGGCGGCGCAGGAGGCGCCGCCAGGGGGGCCCGGCGCCGATCCCTGAAATCCGCGCGGATCTCCGAAAGTGAATGTTTGTGCAATGTCTTCGTCTTCTTCGAGGGGGTCATTGGAAAGCCCTCCGCCCACATAGGTTACCGGCGACTGGTGCTGCTCCACATCAACAGCGCAGTGAGTCCCCCCGCCAAGCCCCCGACAACCACAAAGCACAGGCCCGGCGCCAGACTCCCATCATGGCACGCGGGTCACGCGTGCTGCAAGCTGTCCATTTCGCGGTGAATCCCACCTCCCCACAGAAGATGTCGGTGGGGAAGAAGTTTCCTCCGAGGTCCCGAAGCCAAGCAGGGGCCCTGGGAGCCAGAAGTCGGACAAAACAACTCAGGACCAGCTTCCCTGAGGACCCCCCTCCTTCATGGCGGACACAGAAGCCATGACGACGGCGTCCCGACGCCCTGTGCATGCCGGCGCGCACGCGACCGGAATGTTTTTCGTGCGTCTGCCACTGCGCCGCGAAGGGCGCGGCTTCTTCTCGCCACTCTTCTCACTCCTGTCGGTCCTCCTCCCCGAGCGCTCTCGCAGGGCCGAGCGGCGCGCCTTGGCCGCGATGATCTGGAAGCCGGCGGCGATCTGCGCCGGCCCGCCGCTGACGTCGATGCGGCGGGGACCTCTCGCCGCGCCGCGGGCGGGGCCCGGGGCGCCCCCCGCGGCGCCGCGGCTCTCTCGCGGCGCCGCGCCCCCTGGAGCTCTGGGAAGGCTGGACCTCGGGAGCGGCGAACATTGAAGGGGCCCTGGGACACACAAATAAATACACACAAATAAAAAAATTCCCCATATTTTCTTATATTTTCTGGGTTTTTGTCTTCCCCCCCACTTCCCATATTTTCCCATATTTTCTCAGAAATCGACGATTAATTGTGTCTGTGTGTTTTTTTCCCTCCTGGTATACGGCGGGTGCGTGTCGTGACGACCACGGCGCGGAGATCTCTGTGGCACCGCGTGGGCCCTGCGTGCATCCACGATCGGCGGCTCCCCGATCGCCGGGTCTGTCTATGCTGGCCGATTCCGGGCCGCCGGCGGCGCTGAATCTTGAACGCCCGCGGCGGGGTCGCCGCCGCGTCGACACGACGCGAACCTACCGTGCGCGGGCTCGCGGTGATGGGCTCATTTCCCACCGCCGCTACCATAGGCAGGACGAGGGAGAAAGAGGAGGATGGGGAGGACCTCCTTCTCATCCTCCTTCTCCTCCTCCTCCTCCTCCTCCTCCTCCTCCTCCTCCTCCTCCTCCTCCTCCTCCTCCTCCTCCTCCTCCCCCTCCTCCTCCTCCTCCTCCTCCTCCTCCTCCTCCTCCTCCTCCTCCTCCTCCTCCTCCTCCTCCTCCTCCCTCCTTCCTCCTCCTCCTCCTCCTCCTCCTCCTCCTCCTCCTCCTCCTCCTCCTCCCCCCCCTCCTCCTCCTCCTCCTCCTCCTCCTCCCCCCTCTCCTACCCATGGTAGTGGTGGTGGAACATCGGCCCATCACGCGGTCTGGATTCCCGGCCACGGCCCCGCGGACACGCGGTCGCACAGGTGCGCTCCGCGCGGGGCATCCGTGACAGAGACGCCCCTCCTCCGCGGGGCCGCAGCCCGAGGCCCTGGCCCTCGAGGCCGCGGATGCGCACAGCTATGCTGCCTGGCCGCGATGGCCGGCGCCGGGGACCCCGGGCCCGGAAATGTCGACGCCCCACGCTTGCTCGCCCCGCCTCCCGCCAGCCTTTTTGGAGTAAGGGGTCGAACGCAGCATGGAGCAACCCCGACCTGCCCTCCCCGCCGAGCTCTGCGAAACCTGCAAGGACCGCTCCGCAGATCCACGAGCCACTCAGGGCCCAGGGCCCTTCACAGATCGACCCCGCTCGAAAAATGGCGCAGGAAGAGGCGGTCCGGGGGTCACGTTGCGACGTTTCTGCGACGTTGCCACTTTTTGCAACCTCGGACTCGGGGAAACAGCCAGAGGAGGAAAGGGTGCCGATGCCGCCGCGCGCTTCTCTCGTGCTCCCCCCCCATGCTGGGGCCTCTCATGGGAGGCCCTCGCCGCCACCGCTGGACTCGCCTCGAAACTCTGGTCAGAACGGACCCCGGGGGGAGGTCCAGCTGCGCACGCTGCGCAGATTCGGCGAGGCGATCCCTGCTCGGGCCCGCCGCGCGTGCAGCCCATCCCCCCGGTCGAGGCCTCCCGGCGCGGCCCTCCGCCGGCCGAGCCGCCGCCGCGCCCACCTCCGAGGGCGAGGCTCGCCGGCGGCGAGGCCATTCCCCAGCACGCCCCCTTTCGCCTGCTCCCCAAACCCCCCGGCCTCGTACTTTTTTCAAGGGGCCCAAGGACACACACATGAGCACACACACAAATACAAAGATTCCCCATATTCCCCCTATATGTGTTAGGTTTTTTGCCTTCCCGCCCAGTTCCCATATTTTCCCATCTTTTCTTGGGGGGTCGACGATGAACTGTGCCTGTGTGTGTTTTTCCCCTCCTGACTCTTGTCACGGCGCGGCGCGTGGCCACCACCAGAGGTCTCGGCCCCCTCAGCCAGGACCTTCGGCCATAAAACTGCGGAGCAGGACCTCCGGGAAGAATCCGCCCGTGCGGCGACGCAACAAAAAGCGAGCCTTGCGCGCGCGCGATGGCACGGCAACCGCGGCGCGGCGGCCTGCGCGGGCGGCCAGCGCGGCACGCCGCGACGGAGACCGGGGGTGCCCACGCGCGACCTTGGCCGGGGGCCCCGACCCAGAGGTCCGGAGACCCTTTTCCGCTGGATCAGTGTGAGGTCGGGCGTGTCCTCCTGGAGGCGGATCCTGGAGGAAAAATCTAAGCCATAGCCCCGACGTGCTCAAAATGCTCGGAGGTAGCCGAAAATGACGGACGCATCGTCCCCAGACCATTGTTTGAACTGTTTTTTGAACACTCCTCCTGTAGATGGACACGCCCGACTGAAGACCAGGTGCTTCCTCCCGGGGTCGCTGCTGGACGCTCCTGGGCCCCGGCGAGGGCCACCCGGCGGCTCGACGCCCAGCAGCCCCGTGCGGCGCTGCGCCACCCAGCCTGCTGCCTCTCCCTCCCTCCGCGTTCCTCCCCTGCCTCGGGTCCCGGGCCCCCCCCGTCGCCGTCTGCCGTTTTTTTATCCGGGGGGGGGGGGCGATGCGCCGAGCTGGGATCTGCGATGCCCCGCCGACGGATCGACGGCCTGCCCCCGAGAGCGACGAGACCGCACGCTCCTGGACAAGGGCGGGCCGTCGGGCCTCCTCCTCCTCCTCCTCCTCCTCCTCCCTTTTCTGCTCCCCCTCCTGCTCCTCCTCCTCCTCCTCCTCCCCTCCTCCTCCTCCTCCTCCTTCTTCCTCCTCCTCCTCCTCCTCCTCCTCCTCCTCCTCCCTCTCCTCCTCCTCCTCCTCCTCCTCCCCCTCCTCCTCCTCTTCCCTTTTCTGCCCCCTCATCGGCGATGAACAGGCGATCGGGGGCCGACACATCCCCCCCCCCCCGAGCCCATGCCCCCCCAACGTTGCCCCTGACCCCAGCGCCCCTGGAAAGCCGCGCCCGGCGGTGAGACAAAATCGTGACGGCGGGGGCCTGGGCCTGGCTGTCTGGGCGCGCCGGCGTCGGAATGGCTTGGCTGCCGCCCACGGGCGGCGGCAGGAGAACTGACCACACCAGAGGCCTCCCAGAGGGGGTCCGAGCAGATGGGGCCGGAGGATCTCACCGCATCGCCAGTGCATCGGCGATGCATCGGCGATGCATCAGCGATGCATCGGCGATGCCGAGCGATCTTTCGACCCCATCTACTCGGACCCCATCTGGGAGGCCTAGATACACGTAAAGGGAGAGGGACCCCCTGGCAAGATCGACCTCTGGCCAGGAGAGCGCAAACATGTGGCACCACCACCACCAGCGCGAGGCGACTGGGAGGGCCCTCCAGTTGGCGTGGTGCTATAGACATCCGGCGACCCACTTGTTTCCTGTGTGCCGACCCCCAGAAGTCTGGGCCACTCCCTTCCCCAGGGCCGGCTTCTCATCCCGAGGCGTCGTCTGAGGACCCCGACGCCCGTTGACAGGGCCCCCCGATCCAGAAATAGCCAGAACCCCGCTCCAAGTCTTGTCGGAGCATTGCTCGGTGGGGCCCCCCCACCCTCTCGCTCGGGACGCCCCCCATGACCCAGCTCGGGGGCGCCTAGGCGGCCCCCCCTTGGCGGTGAAGTTGCCTCCCCGTCCTCCGGTCGGGTGCGCGCGACCGGTGCGACAGCCGCGGCCGGCGTGCACGGCTTCTCCCCCCCCCCCGCGCTAAGGCGAAGGCGCGAACAGGACAAACTCGGACGGGGACAATCGCGGGATCTTTGGAATTTGAGCAGGGACCGACCGTCCCGGCATTCCTATAGGCCTACCACAAGATGTGCTTAGAACCGAAAGATGTCCTCAGAACAAAAACCATGTTTTTAGAACATAAGCCCGATGTGTTAAAACAAGACAGTCCCAGCCAGAGATGCTCTAAGAACATTTTGTGGGCACGCCAGGACGCTTCGCCACTGCTTGAATCAAGGGATCTCTGAGATGCAGCAGTTTTTGGAGGATGTAGCAGGCGCCGCGGCCGTTCCAGAGTGTTTGATGTTGCTTCTATTCTGGCCGATAGGTGTCGTTCCAGGGGGGCGGGGGGGGGGGGGCGGGCTTAGGTCGGCCCTGTCCCCCTTCAGGCGGATTCTGGACAACAAAAACATCAACAATACACCACACATGCTCAAACATTGTCAAACACTGGTTCCCAGACTATTTCTTACTACCTCTAGATATTCCCCCTGCAGAGGGACACAGGCCCGACTTGAGGCTGGGCCCGGGACAACTTTCACGCTTGGGCGGGGTAGGGCTCCTCGGGGCGGGGGCGCGCGGCGATCGCCACAGTACGCGCCCGGGCAGGCACCCTACGCCTGCCACTCGATCGCGCGCGCGAGACCTCGGAGCGCCGGCGGAGCACGCGCGAGCATCGAAAAGTGGCCCGCCGGGCGACCAGCGTGCGCCTGGCGGGAGCACCGCGGTGCACTGGCGAGCACCGTGCGCCTGCGAGCACCACGGCGCGCGCACTGCGCATCCCCGCGGGCACCACAGTGCCGTCGCGACCACCACGCCGCGTGGTGAGGGGCCGCACGTCGTTGCGCGGCAGCGCAGATCACGCTCTTCCTCGCCCCGCGCCTCCTCCTATAATCCCTTGCACCTCCGCCTCCTGCCGCTGTTGCACAGCCCCGCTTGTTTGTCATGGGCCTGCGGAGCGGCGGCAGCCTGCGGAGCGACGACGCCGACGACGACGACGACGACGATGGGGGCGGCTTCGACGGCGGCGGCGGCGACGACGAACGACGAGCTGGAAGGCGGCGACGGCCGCGGCGGCGGCAGGATAGAAACCGCCACCGCTTTTGCAACGGGTTGTACGTGTCGGACCCGGACCCTTACCGCAAACGTGCTGTCCCTTACCTCCCTCGTCCCTTTTCGTCGTCGCCGTCCTCCTCCTCCTCCTCCTCCTCCTCCTCCTCCTCCTCCTCCTCCTCCTCCTCCCTCTCCCCTCCTCCTCCTCCTCATTTTCTTGCCCCCTCCCATTCCCGCGCAACGCCGCAACGTTGCCGAGAACACCACAACGCGATTAAACCACACGTTTGCGAG